ACTGCCCAGCACCCTCACCCTCATGTAGCAAAAATTCCTGGGCAAGGCTTCAGGCAGCCCACGATCTTAGCAACAGTAAAAATCTGGATGGCCCTGTCCCAAATTTATATGAGCTTGAAACATTTTATAAACTGTAGGGTGGAAGATCTCAGTTCTGGGAATTGTTAGACAAAAGGCTGTGGAAGAAGGGGGGTGCGGTGGGGTTTCTGTGACGGAAATGTGGAGGGACGTGTGTGAGAAGGCCAGGACCCCACACCTGGAGGAGCCCGGCAACGCCCCTTACCAGAGCCCTGGCGGTACCACAGTTAGGCTCTCAGCAGAGAATGGAAAGGTCAGAGGTTAGAGCCCCCAGCAGCCTGCTGGGAGATGTGGCAGCCAGCACCCATGAAGCTGACAGCCTTGGAAACTTCTTCCCTGTCCTGTGGGGCTGCTGTGAGTCCAGATCCAGCTACAGTGTTGTAAACCTGATGCCAAACCCCCTTTAGCTGTGGCCCCTTTCTCACCACATCGTTTATTCGACTGAGGAGGGTAGGAGTGGCGGGGCCCTTGTTCCACGTCACACAGGGTACAGGGCTTGGGGACTGAGCCCTGGTGTTTTCCCAGCCCCAGCGTACCCCTCTGGCAATCGCAAGCCACCCCAAGAAGACTTCATGTTGAGACACGGTGGGTTTCAGGGGCACATTTTGAGACTGAATAATAAAAAGAAAACTCACTTCAATGGAGGGGCTCTTGGATGCCTCACACTTTGTGAGTTAGCTCACTTCATACTCACAGCAACCTGGTGAGCCAAAGACACGTTTTACAGCTGGGGAAACCGAGGCACTGGAAGGGGGGAAAAAATCACTTGCCAGAGACCCACACCTGCCAAGCCAGGGTTGGAAAGCAGGACGCCTGGCTTCAGAGCCCTTCCCCCTAACCACTACCCCACACAGCCTTTCCAGGTCTCTGGAAGGGTGCAGGGAACAAGAAATGAGAGGGTGTGGAGGGACACCTCCCTTTCCAACCTGTTAAGAGGCAATCGAGTCTACTTAGATGCAGAGCAACCCCACAGGGCAGACAAGCACTGCTCCTGAGGAGCTGCTGGTGGGTTTGAACTACCAACCTTACATTTGGCAGCCCCGCACCTAAACCACAGTGCTGCCAGGGCTCCTTGGTGAGAGGCTAGTGGATCCCATTTTCAGCACAGGCCTCTCTCGGGGCCTAGAGGGACACAAACCTGCTAGCCAGCCAGTTACTGTCAAGGTGACCTCGGTTTATGGTAATCCTGTGAGCATCAGAGAACCAGTGCTCCACTTGGTTTTCAGGGGCTGGCTTTTCTGAAGTAGGTTGTCAGGTCTTTCTTCTGATGCACCTGTTTGAACGCAAGCCTCCAGCCTTTCGGTGAGCAGCTGAGTCTGTTCACGTTTGTACATGTGCAGCAGCAAACAGTTCATACAGAGCTTCTCCCGGGGATGGCTTGGGGCAGTGGTGGTTCAGGGGCCAAGATCTTGCCTCTGAGCAGAGATCCAGGCTTCATTTCCAGCCAGTGCACTTCCAGTTCAGCTGTCAGACTTTAGGGCCTCCAGTGTGGCTATGATGCCGAACATGTGTCATCAGAACTTTCAGCATCAGACTAGAAAGAAAGGCCTGGTAACCTACTTCCAAAAATCAGTCTGTCCAGTGGTCTGATTCTGTGGTAACGTGGGTCATCACTGGGTGGCATGGGGGATAGGAGAGGCACACGGGAGAAGGGCACTTAGTAGATAGCAACTACCAACCACCCTTCAACAGATCATTACCATTAGCTGCCAGGATTCCTTCTGTCCCTGGCAGCAGGCAGGCCTGGCTGCTTGCCCGCCGGTGGCCCACTGTTCCTGGCCCAGATCTGATATGCTGACTGCTTTCCATGGGGGTGACTTGTAAGATCCAGGTGAGAAGCAGTAAGTGGTGGGCCTACGGGTGCCCTTGGTAACCCCGGATCTGCAGATCTCCAGGAACTTAGGAGCAGCTAGTGCGTCAGCCCCAGAGCCTGGAGCTCAGCACTGGGGCCGAGAGGGGACAGCCTCAGGGCCTGCTGGCCACAGCCCTCGCCCTCCTCTTCTGGGAAGACTCTCAGTTCCTTGTCCTAGGTGTGCTGTGTTCTCAGGAAGGACCTGGGGCCCTCTCTTCTCCAGCTCCTGCGCTTCTCCTTGTCCCCAGCAGTGTACAGGGCCAAGAGGCCTGGTGGTGAGCTTTGTTTTTTTAACCTTTTATGGTGAATTGGTTGTAGGTTTACAGAGCAAAATCAGTTTTCCATTCAACAATTCATACACCTTTTGTTTTAGTTCACTGAAACATCACTTAACCTACTTCCTCTCGGTGTTTCCTGTTTGCATTCCTCCTCCGGTTCCTAACCCCTTTGAACTTTGTCCTTGGGTAAATGCTGCCGTTTTGATCACAAATGGTTGATTATTCTAAGGTGTGCCTACCTCACTGTTGTTATTGTTCTCCTTATAGGCCCATCCAAGACTGGGCTGAAAACTGAGCCAAGGGAGATGGGTGATGGGTTCAGTTTGACCTGAAGGGTGACTGAGGGCCCTAGCCTTGGGGATGCCACCGGTCTCTATCCAACCCGTGGGCCTGGTCTGTTTAGGATTTTCAGTTTTCCATACTTTTCTCCCAGTCTGTCCAGGACATTCTACTGTATATATTCCCTTTCAGAGTTGCCCATCAGTGTTAGTAGCCAGGCACCATCGAGTTCTTCTGGGTCTCAGGATTTTGGAGCCTGAAATCTTCGTGGTCCATTAGTCATGTGGATTAATTGTTTCCTTGTGCCTTTGATTTTCTTAACTCTTCTATGCTCCAGATGGGCAGAGCCCGGTCGTCATCTGGCTGGTCATTTCAGGAACATGAGCTCTGGGTATGAACCCTGAGTCCACTCTCTGTTCACTATGTGTGCTTGGGAATATCACTGTCCTTCTCTGAGCTTTAGTTGTTGGGCGCTGTCACATATATCCCAACCTCAGCAACCCCATGTGACAGAGTACAACTGTCCCCAAGGGTTCTGTTGGCTGGCCTCTTTACAGAAGTAGATTGCCATGTCCTTGTCCTGCAAAGTTGCAGCGTGCGTTTTGAACTGCCAGCCTTTTGGCTTTTAAGAGCCCAGTCGCTATTCACCAAAGCAGGATGTAGAACATTGTCTTTGTGAGCGATGTTACACCAATTTACCTTGGTGTCCCCTGAGACTGTGATCTTGAGCCCCCAGGCCCGGTGACTTCTTCCCTGAAGATGTTTGATGATGTCTAAAATTTTCATTACTCGGTCCCCCTGTCTGCTTCACCAGGTTCATGGTTCAGTACACATGTAGAAACGCCTTCTGGTAAACCTCTTATCTATTCACGGACCTACTCCCACTCTTCCTCCCTGGACAGCCTGCAGGTTTACGGGCACATCTACTGGTAGATCCCCACTGTTGCAGGCTTGTCTATATAATTTGTTGTCTCTGTTGCCTTCAACTCTTGCGAGACTCCCAGTGTCTTCCCCTGCCACCATCATTTTGTGCTGACCTCCCTCTTAAGAGTATACTGCCTTCCCCCAAGTTTACGCTTGTCTACTCTCTAGCCAGCAATTTGCCCTTCCTCTCCCTCCCAGCACTGGTAGCCATCAAAGAACGTGTCTTTCAATGTGAAACCCTTTTCTTGACTTTTCATAATAGTGGTCTCCTATAATCTTTGCCTCTTTGTAATTGACTAGTTTGTTCTGCCTGAAGTCCCCCCGGGTCCGCTGTGTTTCGAAGTGCTTCCCAATTTCATCCTTGTTCTTTTTTTTTGTTGCCACCTTAGGATTATTTATACCAGCGGTACAGGAGGACACCAGCTCCATGCAGATGCAGATGCAGATGCAGCTCAGGTGGTCACACCAGCCCCTCTCATCCTAAGAAGGGAGGACTCTAGCTTTGAGCTGAGTCGAGGCAATGGCTGGAGCATCAGCCTCGCTTGGTGCCTTGACTTTGGACCGGCAGAGCCTCAGACCCTTGGCAATACATGCCCGAGCCTGCTTGTCAACCTTGTGCTGGGCAGCGCAGGCCAGCCGACTGAGCTTGCAGTTGACGCCCACTGGGATCTTAGCCTCAACCTCCTCGGGCTTCACAAGAGCCTTGATAGCCTCTGCACAAGCCTCCACGGCCTTGCCGTTGTTGCCCTGCATGGTCTTCGGGCCCTTCTTGGTGTGCTTCTTGGCGAAGCACATGATGCTCAGGACTTGGGATCCAGCCACTTAAGAGATTCAGATCATTGGGATCGGGGTTTCTCGATGGCATTTCTGTGCCATTTTCGGGATTGGTTGTGCGTGGTGTGGTTCGTGGATTTGGCCATGTCTCCACCCATGCCAGCAGTGCCCGGAGCGCCAGAGGGCACTGTGGTTCTTTCAGGTTGGGCAGTGTCCCATTGTGCGTGGGCCACCGGTGGTTGTTTCCATCACCTTGCTGTTGTGAACAGGGCTGCGGTGAACTTGGGTGTGCATGCCTTTATCCGTGGTGCGCTCGGCGTTCTCTAGGATCTATTCCAAGGAGGGGGCTGGGGGTAGGGGGGACGGGTCGTTCCATCTGTTTAAGGAAGCACCAGGCTGCTTTCCACCCAGGACTTTCAGCCTTGGCTGGGTGGTCGGAGGGGTTTCCATCTGGAAAATGTTTCCCGTGTGCTAGGATCTCCCACGCGGTTGTTGAGATCATCCTGTAAACTGTTAGGACATCCCCTTCACAGAGGTAGGGAATGCAGGCTCAGAGAGGGGAAATGGTTTCCCCCAGGGGACACGCCAGCGAGGTGAGTGGCTGAGCTGTGCTTCAAATCCAGGCAGCCCGCTTTCTTCACGGTCCTTCCTGCCTCGGCCCAAGCACAGAGTGGGGGTCTACAGCCTCTGGGCGGGGGGAACGGACTGCCCCAGGGTCCTGGAAGTGGTGGGTCCATGGCAGGACTCAGGCTGGGCCCCATCCCTCCATCCCGAAGGACCGCCCTGACACTCATCCACCTGTCCTGGCCCCACAGGTGGCGATGGTGGAGGTGCAGCTGGATGCTGAGCACAACTACCCGCCTGGGCTGCTCATCGCCTTCAGCGCTTGCACCACAGTGCTGGTGGCCGTGCACCTGTTCGCGCTCATGATCAGCACCTGCATCCTGCCCAACATCGAGGCTGTGAGCAACGTGCACAACCTCAACTCCGTCAAGGAGTCGCCACACGAGCGCATGCACCGTCACATCGAGCTGGCCTGGGCCTTCTCCACCGTCATCGGCACGCTGCTCTTCCTGGCCGAGGTCGTCCTGCTCTGCTGGGTCAAGTTCCTGCCCCTCAAGAAGAAGGCCAGCCAGCCACAGCCCACCCCCAAGCCCCCAGACAGCCCTGTCGAACCCGATGGCATCACTCCGGGCCAGGCCGCCGCCATAGCCTCTACCACCATCATGGTCCCCTTCGGCCTGGTCTTCATCGTCTTTGCCGTCCACTTCTACCGCTCGCTGGTCAGCCACAAGACAGACCGGCAATTCCAGGAGCTCAACGAGCTGGCTGAGTTTGCGCGCCTGCAGGACCAGCTGGATCACAGAGGGGAGCACCCCCTGACTCCTGGCAGCCACTACGCCTGAGCCCCCTTGGACTGAGGCAGTTCCAAGCTCTGGCCTTAACGCTCGCTCGTTCCCCTTCCTGGTCCTGGCCCAGCCTCAGGGACGGCTTGTTCTGACCCCCTTGTGCAGCAGGGGAGAGAGTGGGGGGAAGAGGAGAGGGTTCTCTTAGGAGAAATGACTGCACTTTAAGACTTGCCTCTAAGGCGCACTTCCTGTTCTTCCAGCCCCGGATCACCTGCTGGGAGGTGCTGGGGGACAGATCCTCCTTTTGTCCTGTGCCAAGGCCACCTGGATGTACCCTGTCTCTTTCTCCTCAGCCTCCAGCCCCGTTCAGGGTGGAGTGTGTGTGTGTGTGCGCGTGTGTGTGAGCACAGAAATATACTCGTAAGGGACACCTCTCTCTTTGTGTCTCTATCTATTGGGTTGGGGCTACCGCCAGGACCTGCTGAGCCCCGAAGCAGAGGTTTTGGGGTGGTTTGTTTTGTTTTGCCTTTCATTTCTCTCAGCAGTTTCTTTTGAGACATTTTAGGCCTACCCGAGAGTCACCAGAATAGCAAGTCACTGAGCTCCTCCTAAAGCGTATGGCATAGATAAAACACTACTCCATTGAATCCACGTGCAAATTTCCCACTGGTCTCCCTAATGTCCCTTCCAGCAGCTGTTTTGCCACTCCAAGATCATGCATTGAAGTGTCTCCTTTAAACCAGAAAACTCCTCAGCTTTTGTTTTTCATAACACTGACTTTTATGAAGAGTTCGAGCCAGTGGCTCTGTAGGCAGTCCCCTCTGTTTGGTTTGTCATCTGCTTTAGTTAAGCCTTTTAAGCAAGGGTATCATGTGACCTTGTGTGCAAACCCACTCCCATCGAGTAGGTTCAGACTTACAGCAATCCTATAGGCTCTTTATGGTTTCTGAGACCAAATCTCAACAGGACCAGAAAGCTTCATCTTCCTCCTGCAGAGTGGTTGATGAGTTTGAACTGCCAGCAGCCCCAAACTTCACCCACAGCACCATCAGGACTCCTTGACCTTGTGTCCAGATCTTTTAAAAATGATAACCAACCAATAGCAGTCCGTATGGCACTAGGCATCAGCATCTCTCCGAGGTGGGTACCCCTATAATCCCATTTTGCAGATGGCATAACTGATACCCAAAGAAGCTAACTTGTCAGGATTCAAAGTTAGGACATCGAACTTGGAGACCAGACACACAACTGTTTCTGGTTTGGCTGGGAAAATGAAAAGACCTCGCAGGGCCCCATCCCTTCTTCCAGAGTAAAAATGAGCAGGAGTGAGGAGCCTATTGCCACAGTCCCCACCACTCCCTCCTGTCTCACACCAGGCCAGCTTCACTTCTGTTACTTGCCTGGCCTCTGTGGGACCTTGAGTTTGAGACCACTGCTGCCTGTTCTGTGGATAAAGTTCTTAAAAAGCCAAATGTTGCAGCTGAAGTGAAGGAGGTTTGAGGAGTGGAGAGGCCTAATATTTGTGCCCCTCCCATTATTGTCCCCCAAGAGGTTTCCACTGAACCCCGAGTCTTGGACAGTTTGGAAAATGTGGCCTTATGCTCCTTTGGGAAGCTGTGAATAGCAGCTCGATGGACCGGGTGGGGAGGAACTCTCCCCTGCATACATAGCTCACCACCCTAGGTCACACACCCTGGGACCCACCATTGTCCTGTCCCCAGGTGCCCTTTGGAAGGGCTGGATAGGAACAGGCAGGGACCACACACACTCACCAGGGTAGGCCTGGACATTTCCTGTGTTCCCTAAGATGCCTGCTCCCCATTGAGCAGAAGTCTGGGATCCCAGGGAGACTCTGGCGTGGGCGTCTCAGATTCTCTCTCCACCTGGCCTGAGTTCAAGAATTGCCAACTTGGCTTGTGAAAAATGCAGATTGCCAAGCCCTCCCCCAGGAGACCGAGTCAGTCGGGGCCGGGTGTGTCCCGTGTTTTTAACAAGCACCCATCGTGCTCACTCACACCCAGGTATCTTGGGAAACAATGGTCGTTCAGAATACAGTCTTTTGTTTTATTTGTATGTTGCGTAGACAACAGGCCCATGGTTCCAAGCACAACAGTGAAAAGTCCTCTCCCTCCCCGTTGTTCCTAGAGGCTGTGGCTCTCACGTAGAGTTTCTGAACACACAAGGGCACCCTACACACAACACGCTTTTGCTTTTCCTGTTCACGGCTGGCCTGCCAGGCACTCTACCCTGGTGACTTGTGAACCTCCGTATCCACTTCTAAAATGGTGTAAATAGCCAGACCACCTCCAGGCTGCGGGGAGACACATGTCAGCACTGTGCCTGGCTGATTCCTGGTAGGCCTGCATCCCAGGGTGGCTAGGCTCAGCTGACCGCTCAGCCCCTGGTCAGACAACCCCATCACAACTTAGGGAGAGAAGGGCCATTGGAGCCGTTATTGTTTGCTCCATGCAGCTGAGGGCTTTGCCAGCCTCTGGGACCTTGGTTCCTTCCCCTCACACTGGGCATGAAGGGCTGGATTATTCTCGGCATGGGGCTGCCCTGAGCTTTGTAGGTCAGCAGCATGCCTGACCTCTACCTCCTTCCTGCTGCCAGTAGCATCTCCCATTTCTGCCAACAGTGCCGTGAAAACAACAAAAAGAGCCAAACCCTTTGAGATGATCCCAACTCAGTAAGACTGCCTTTGCAGGTTCCCGAGGCTGTAAATCTGTACAGGAGCAGAAAGCCTCATCTTTCACCCTTGAAGTGGCCAGAGGGTTTGAACCATCCACCTTGCCGTTAGCAGCCCGACAGGTAGCCGAAATCGCCTGCGTTGAGAGCCACGGACTCTTTTTTTATCATTGCGATACCTCTCCCTGGTGGGTAACATTACCGTTCCGGTGTCACAAGGGCACCTAAAGGCTGGGAGGTTGACATTCCCAAGGGCACAGTTGACACCCTTGTCGCTGCGGGGATTCACAGACTCCGGCGCGCATACGCTGTCCTGCTACCCTGCGCCCGCCCCTCTTTCCTCGCAGGTATGCAGTCCGGGTTAGAATCTCGCCCAGAAACTCTTCCCTGGTATCTGGCCCTGCAATTAACCTCGATACATGTTATTTAGCATTGCGACAGTGGTTCTAAGTGAATCCTTTAAACAGCCCTGCGAGCCCTCCTGAGCCCCATTTCACAAATGAGGCAGCTGGCGTCATGGGCTAGGGGCGCCCCCAGGCTAGTACAGCAGGAGCAGTGGTCCTGGCTCCACCTTAGAATCACCAACGCAGACTTGACTGCAGCCTGGGCCTTTCCCCAGATGAGTGAAGCCAGCCTGGGTGGGTGTGGCTCCTGGGTGCCCCCATCTGAGCTCCCACGTGATTCCCAGACCAGCGGCCCGTGTCCTGTTCCCGATCAGGTTTAATCTAAATTCTTACCACCGACGGAGCTCCTGGGAGGCAGGTGGGGAGGGTGGGGGGGATAGCTCTGTCCCTCTGGGTGACTGTCCTTACTGTAAATCCGTAGCGCCCTGGAACCTTCTCCCACTTCTCCACCCAGCACCCCTGCTGGAGTACGCCGTCTCCCTGCCTCAGCCTGCAGCCCTGCTGACATACCTGGCTCTCTTTTATTCCCAGGCACTTAGGGAAAGGTGTTGGGGTGAAGGCTGTGAGGGGCAAGGGAAAACCCCGCTCCCCCATAGGCAGTCCCATAGGCAAATAAGGATCCAGTTCCGGGAGGAATGAGGTGCCCTCTGCAGGTGCCAAGGGTGTGTCGGGAGTGGCCACCACTCTCCCCAGGGTGAGCAGCACTGGTCTGAGCAGTTTGGTGACGCGTGCTTGGGTTTCACCTCAAGGGCTGAGCTCAGCATTCTTCTGTGGGAGGCAGAGGGACAGAGGGAAGCTCGAATTTCTCCAGTACTGTGCCAGGACCCTCCCTCACAGTCCCACTCATCCCCACCCCAGGACAGGCCAAAGCAGAAGCCCAGCTTTATAGTTCAAAGGCACATCCCAGTGAGCCCAGGGGGCAAATGGGGTGGGGGTGGGGGGTGGGAGGGACTTTGGGCAGAATTGAAATGAACCGAAAATGGGATGTGAAGGAAGGAACCACAAGGGGCCGGCTGGACTCCAGAAGGCAAGGACTCCATGGTGCTGCCCACCTTCACCTGGCCTCCGTCTTCTCCCTTCTACTACTCCTTCTCTTCCTCCTCCTCCTCCTTTGTCTCGTTCTCTTCCTCCTCCTCCTCTTCTGCAGTGGACTTGAACCTGTCCATGGCTTCCTTCAGCACGTTGTCAGGGTCTAGGATTGTGATCTGGAGGGCAGCAGGGAGGGGGCGTTGGGAAGCTCAGCCAGCACACGGCTTGCTTGCCTCTTCCCTGCTGGGGGTGGTAGGCTGGCTCCTGGTGCCCGTCTCTCTGGAGGTGGCTGCAGGGGGGTAGGGGCTGCCCACCTGAGGAATGGGGAACTGGGTGGGCTCAGGGGCCTCATCACGGCCAAAGTCGATCATGGTGCCACACTTGGCTATGTCATCCACCCAGAAGCCCTCGAACAGCTGGCCATGGTCCAGGTAGAAGAATCGCCCGGCCCCGTTCTTCATGCCTCTCTGCCAATAGCCCTCGTAGCGGTTTCCATTCTCTGAGGGAAAGGAGAGGAGCAAGTGAACGGTGGGCACATCAAACCAGGCTGGACCCTCCACACTGCCCACCAGACAGCCAGAAGGCAGAAGAACATCAGGGATGACTAGCATGAGCTGGGCTAAGTGAAGCAGGGACCACTGGTCTATAAATCGTAGAGCTCTGGGCTACCAGCAACTTCCAGAATCAGACCTGGTTCACGTCTCACCTCCAGCACTTACCTAAACATGGACAAGCCACTCTTTTAGCATCAGGTTCCCATCTGCCAAATAGAAAACTGGAAAGAAAAGGCCGTCCATTCTCCCGCACTTGCTTTGTGCTTGGATCCAAGCTGCATGCCTGGCCTGGCTTCACCCTCACAAACAATTCCATGACGGTCAGGCTGTGGACGCCATTGGACAGATGGAGCTTGGCAGTTTAACTAGCTTGCTCAAAGGTCCCAGAGCCAGGAGCAGCAAAGGCAGAGCTTGAAACCAAGACCTGCTTGGAGCCTGCATGCCTACTAAGCACTAAGAATGCTGCTGCTCAACTGACGGTGGTAGTGACAAAAGAAGTCCAAAGGACCCTTCTTAGCTCAGATGCTGGCTAGCTGTGTGACCTTGGGAAGGTCATCTACACTTTCTCTCTTTTATAAAGGGCAAGGACAGTAGCACCCAGCATGTAGATTTGTGAAGACTAAAGCCATCGGTGCGCTGAGGGAATCACAAGAGTGTATTCAGTTTGGCAACCCAGCCAGTCTTATGTCACAGGAGCCCTGGTGGCACAGCAGGTTGCAAGTTGAGCTGCTTCACCCTAAAGTCAGCACTTGGAAACCACAAGCTGCTCTTAAGGAAAAAAGATGAGGTTTCTATGCCCCTAAAGGCTTACAACCTCAGCGACCCCCGGGGGTCCAATAGGGTTGTTTGTAATAGTTTGTAATCAGCTTGATAGCAGTGAGTTTGGGTTGAGTCTAGCATATGACACAACTCCTCAGTCCTGTCAGTGCACCATGAATGTGCCACTGACCATATGTAAAAGAGTGAACATGTCTGTGTGCCCATAACATCTTATTCACACATGGGAAAGGGGTTTGACTTTGGAGTGACAGAAATGTGTTGGGACTCGACAAAAGTTGTGTAACATTATGAACATACCAGATCTTTCCCTTTAAGATAGTTTTTATGTTTTGTGAATTTCACTTCTATACATTATTTTTTGAGAACAACTCTAGCTACAAAAACAAGGGTCCGGCTGAATCTGGCCTGAGGACTATAGTTTGCCAAGCTCCTTTCTGTCTAAGTACAAGCCAGCAATGTTAGCACTGATTACTTACTCTCTGGTAGGTACCACACTAAGTACTTTGCAAACGGAACCACCAGGCTACCACTACCACCTGCTCAGAAGGGTCCTGTTAAAAAGTCTTGGATAGAGTGGGGGGACAGTATGGGACAGAACTCAAACTCATAAGAGCCCAGGCTTATTGGTCAGAGAGACAAGCGGAATCCCCAAGACTATGGCCCTTACACCTAATCTGGAACTGAACTCAGCTCTGTTAGAAGAAGAAAGCATTTACCATCCAAAGGGCAGCTTTGACCCAAGAGCAAAAGTCAGGGGGCTGGGACAGAAGGAAGAATGGAAAACAGAGACCTAAGAAGTAGAAAATGACCACGCTGTCACAGGATAAGGGATTGCCAAGGAAAAGTTAATCAAATGGTGAAATGTCGAATGTGAAATTATGATATATCTTCACCTAATTTACAATAAGTTTTTTTAATCAATAAATATCAACTGAACCTTTACAATAATCCTCCAAGATAAATTATTTTTATCCTTATCCGATGGATGAGGAAAGGAGCCTGGGTGGCCCAGTGGCTGCACATCGGGCTGGGATCCACAAGGTCCACAGTTTGAAACCACCAGCCCCTCAGAGGAAGAAAGATGGGCTTTCTACTCCCGTCAACACCTACACTCACAGGAGCAGTTCTAGCCGGTCCTATAGACCAGCTATGAGTTGCTATGAGTCGACATCAACTTGATCGCAGTGAGTTCTGGTTTTAGTTATAGATGGGGAAACGAAGGCACAGAGGGTTTCGGCCAATTGCCCAAGGTCTTGCGACTAATCTGCGCTCCAGGCGGGGTTTGAATCTAATAACTTAGGCATAGTGGATTCCCTACTGCTAACTATAAAGTCAGAAGGTCGAATCTACCGCCCTCTCCTCGGGAGAAAGATGAGACTTCCACTCCCATGAAGATTTACAGCCTCAGAAACCCACAGGGATAGTTCTTCGCCGTCCTATAGGGTCACTCTGAGTCTGAATTGACTCCAGGGCAGTGGATGGGTTAGGGAATCTTGACAGTGCTGTGGGTTACACTCTGGGCTGCTAACCATAAGGTCAGCCGTTCAAACCTTGGGGGAAAGAAGAGGTGGTCTGCACACACGACATTAACTGACTCAGAAACCATATCTCGGGTCGCCGTGAGTCAGAATGGACCTGGTGGCAGTGGTTTTTGTTTTGCTTCTAAATCAGCGTAAACTAGTCCCTGTCTCCCAACCTTTTAGCCGTTTCTCCAGCACACCTTCCTGTTTTCTAGTCTCCTTATCACTTTCAATCTTACCAGGCTGTGTGACCCTGGGCAAGTGTCTTAACCTCTCTGTGCCCCACTTAATGTGTAAAATGTAGACGCTAAGAGTACTGATGTATAGCTGTGATGAGGCTAGTGTAGGCTGTCTATAGTTTGTTGTTTTTTTTCCCTTTTGGTTTCTTTCTTTTTTTTTTTTTTTAAACATTTTATTAGGGGCTCATACAACTGTTATCCCAATCCATACACACATCAATTGTGTAAAGCGTATTTGTACATCATTTCTCAAAACATTTTCTCTCCATATAGTTTGTGAGCTTAGAAAAAACAGTAAGAAACCGGCTTGCTTTATGTGTTGTTAAGTCTCCCCTATTAGAGGAGGGCAGGGATCCTGTCCTCTTACTCCACCATTGATAGCCAAACATGTTGGGTGGGCAACCCCGTTCGTTCATTAAAGAGAATGGTCTTGTGGGGCTTAGCCAGGGAGGGGGTGGGTGGGTGGGTAAGAAGGGCCCGAGTGGGCGGGCACTCACTCAGCCGCAGCATGCCTTCCCCGTGGTACTTGTCGTTCAGCCACTGGCCCTCGTAGATGTTGCCGTTGCTGAAGTACATGCGGCCCCACCCGCTGCGCTGGTTTCCACACCACTCACCCTCATAGTACTCCTTCGGTCCGAAAAACTGGATCCCATAGCCCTGTAAGCACCAAAGTGTCCCAGTTGGCGGCACGGCACAGCTCCAGGGACCACTGAGACAGACTCCAGCTACCCTGCAGGACCCTCAGCCAGACACCCGGGATTCTCCCTGGCTTCCTTCCTCTGGGGCCCGCTCCAAGCCCATACTCTGTCCCTTGCTCTCCAGCCTTTCTCTCTCTTCCCTCCTCACTGGCCCCTCGGCCTCCTCGCTCAGGGCCCCCAGCGTCCACAGGCCGGGTGGTGGTGGGGTCATTAAAACCCTCAAACCGATTCTGACTCGGTTACATGCACAGGAAGTCCCCGGATGGTGCTAAAGGTTCACTTTCTCAACTGTTAACGCAAAGGTCGAGGTTCTAGTCTGTCCAGAGGTGCCTCGCAATCTAAACATCTGCCGCTGAAAACTCTGGATCACAGGAGGTCACCGTAAGTTGGAATCAACTCAAAGTCTTTTTTTTTGGGGGGGGGCACAGGGAGGAGGTCACAGACCCCTCAGAAAATCACATAGAACAGCCTGGCACTTTCTCCCTAGAAAAAGAAACACAAACAGTACCCAGCTCCGGGGATTCCTGGAACTCTGCAGATCATGGAGCTGGGGTCTGGCAGCCCGAGGGTACTTCTCAAAGTCCTGCCCGTCACCCCAGGGGGCACGTACCCGACTCTCTCACGTGGCCTTCCCCCTGCTGCGTCTGCATGCAGTCTCTCTCCCCTTTTCTCCATCACTCCTAGCCTCTTTGGAGCTCATCCCCTATAGGGAGCCTGCCCTGAATCTTCTATACTTCTATAGTCGACCGCTGAAAATATTCATCCTAGCACCATAAATGAGTGGCTTACTTTGAAATCTCTCTCCACAACTAGAGAGCTGTCTTGTGCCGCGGAGTGGAAACCAACTCACAGCCAGCCTATACGACAGAGTAGAACTACCCCATGGGGTTTCCTAGTGGCACGGTCGGTCAGGGAAACTGCCGGTGGTCGGTTCAACGCCCCCCACACTCCTCAGGACAAAGATGAGACTGTTCAGCCTCAGAGACCCTATAGAGCAGCCATTCTCAACCAGTGGGTCTCGACCCCTTTGGGGGGTCAAAGGATCCTTTCACAGGGGTCACCATAACAGTAGCAAAATGACAGTGAAGAAGTAGCAAAGAAAATAATTTTACGTTTGGGGGGGTCACCACCACATGAGGAACTGTATGGAAGGGTGGCGGCATGAGGAAGGTTGAGAACCGCTGGACTGGAGGGTTGCTCTGTGGGAATCGGCTGGAGGGCAGTGGGTCTTTAATCTCCAGGCGAGTAGATCTCCAGCTCTTGTCTCTCACAAAGGAGCCAGTGGGTTCACACTGCTGACCCACTGGATTAACTGCTCGGCACTGCTTTTGAAAGCCTGGGCCCTGCTGCTTACCAGCTGTGTGGCCCCAGCCCAGGCCAGTCACCTCTCTGAGTTTGTTTCCCCATTGGCAAAACGGGAACGGTGATGATGATGTTCTGAGAATTGAAAGTTCCAGGTTCACCACCCAACTGTAGTTGCTCAGGAAATGTTGACAAATCTCTCTCTCTATTGACTGGAGTGTTTATTTCCCAATTAAAACCTACTTATCCATATGGAAAGGTATATTGTTATCTCTTTCCCTGGGCACCTGACAGGAGTTCTTTCAAGTTTGAGAGAGCAACCTGAGGAAGTCTTGTCTTCCGTTTGGGTGTTTGTAGGGTGAGGCCACCCCTCTACCTGGCTTCTACCCCTTAGGACGCTGCCTGCCCCTTCCTCCCTCGTCCTGTAGCCAAGGGTGGGGCCTCTGCCTTCTTGCCCACACTTCTCCTACCCCCTTTTAATGAGGCCTAAGAGAGGTGGGACTTCTCAGAAAGGCATGCTTAGGAAAAGAAAGCCAGGAAGCGTGGGAGGAGGCGGATGGAGGAGACTTTGCCCCACATGGACCCACACACAGGCGGGCAGGCCGGCCGCTGGTGGCCCAAGGCTTTCATGGGCTCCAGCCGGCCTCCTGCCCTTGCTTCCTGTTTCCTGGGTTTTGTTCTGAGAGGCCTTGGCAGCACCCCACCCCTTCCTTCTCCCACTGACCACCCTGCCCACCTCCCTCAGATCTCCTGCCTTTGATTCATAACACACACACACACACACACACACACACATCACACACCCGGCCCCCCTCCCCCGTTCCAGGGCACCATGGGAAACCACTCACCGATTTCTTGTTGCCTGACCACCATCCCGAGTAAACTCTCCTGTACTTTCCCGTGTCTGGGTCAGGAATGCTGAGGGTGCCGTAGCCATCTCGTTTCCCAAGCTTCCAGTCCCCTTCGTAGACGGTACCTTTCTTCTTCCAGATCTGTGCCCCTTTTCCTAAGGACACACAGATGGGCCAGGGCTACAAACACCGCTGCCAGGGCGTGGAGGGAGGGTGTCTACCCAGTCCTTAGGGGTCTCTCCTACTGATTAGATGACTCTCCAGGGCTAGCACAGGGTCCGTGTCTCTAGACAGCCCCTCCCTACGCTAGCACCCAGGAAAACCCTAAGAAAGTTCTCTCCCTACAATCCCCGCTCTGCAGGTCTATGAGCTGAGCCAGGACAGCCTCTGAGGGGGCCTCCAAAGAGCTGGTGACACACGGATGAGAACATCACAGAATGCCTTGGCGATCTTTCTGTTGTTCCTCGTAAAGGTAGGGAGGTTCGGAGAGGGCTTTGAAAGGGACACGGCGGCCGGACTCTGAGACCATGCAGTCCGATTCCAAAGCCAGTGCCCTTCTGGGAAGGAAGCATGAGACGTGAATGGAGGAGTGCAGGAGCGTGAAAGCAAACTGTCAGCCCCAGAGGCCTCCACCCCACCCTGCGGTGGGCCCAGTGCTGGGTGGAGCTTCCTGTCCACTTCCGCCTTCCTGAACAGACTTCCAGCACGAGGCGTTAGCAGGACCAGGGGTGGCAGAAGTCAAAGCCCTCTAGCTTCCTGGTCAGTGTGCCAGAAGCATCTACCTTCTCCCAAATGGTGCCCAATAGCCAGGACAATGAAACCCCAGGGGCTTCCACCAGCAGGGTTTGTGTCCGTGTGGGTGGAAGATATCCTTGACTTGTGCCTCCCAGAAACTTCCTCTGGCTGTGCAGAAGACCCCAAGAGGTTTTCTGTGACTCCCACGTGGTGGGGCCGAGTCAGGCTTCACTGCCGTCTCTGGCAACATCTCCACCATCTGCTGCCAGTCGATTCTACCCCAAGCCACTCAAAACCAAGCTTACTGCCAGTTCTGACCCACAGCAACCCCCTAGGACAAGGTAGAGCCCTTGCTGTGGTTCTCCGAAGCTGGAACTCTTCCTGGGAGCACAAAACCTCCTCTTTCCCCCGAGGAACAGCTGGTGGTTTCAAACTGCTGGCCCTGCGGTCAGCAGTCCACACTGGCCAGCGGGGGGATACAAGGCCACGAGGGCTCCCACACCCAGTCACAGAGGGTGTCATAGGACGCAGGCTGGGCCAGTCAGAACCCTTTCCTGGGATTTTTAGCAGTTAGCTGAGCCCAATCAAAATCAAACTCACTGCTGATTAGTGGATTCTGGCTCACGGCCACCTTTGACAGCAGTGGTTCTCCACCTTCCTAATGCAGAGAGCCTTTCGTACAGTTCCTCGTGTGGTGGTGACCCCCCCAACCATAAAATTATTTTCATTGCTACTTCATCACTGTTATTTTGCTACTGCTATGAATCGAGCAACCCCTGTGAAAGGGTCCTTTGACTCCCAAAGGGGTCTCGACCCACACGTTGAGAACCGCTGTTTTACAGGGTTTCTGAGACCGTCATTCTGTCTAGGAGCAGAGAGTTTAGAGTTTCTCCCACAGAGTGAGTGGGTGGTTGGTGGGTTTGAACTACTGACCTTCCTGTTAGTAGCCCAACCCCGAGCCCACAGTGCCACCAGCGTTCCTTCAAGTCAATGAGGATGTGGAAAAATTGGAGCTCGCATAAATCCTGGTATATATAAAACAGTACAACTGCCAAGGAAAACAGGCTGACAGGTTGTCAAAAGATGACGACGCGTGGGGCTCCTGTGTGGATGGTTGCCACGTGGCTGGTGGGTCTGAAGCTCCAACCTTGAGTTACCAGCCAAGCAATTACCCATTACATCACCCATCACCAGGCTCCATATGAGCCAGACATTCAACATCTAGTCATATCCCCGAGAGAACTGGGGGGCATAAGGGGACACAGGTGCCACACAGAAACAAAGCTTGAGGCGCTAGTTCAGCCTACACTTCCGATCACAGATGAGGAAGCAGTGACCAGAGAAGGGAAATGGTTTCCTGAGAGCCACACAGCTTCTCAGCAGTAGGTGTCTTGAGGCACAAGCAGAGCTCAGAGCAGCCACACAAAGTCTCGCTTTTAAGTGAATGCTGAGGGTGGTGGTTGTGCCAAATGTTGGGTGGGGTCAGTTCTGGTAGGCTGCCACAGTCTACCCACAGAGAACATTCCAGAAGTTTCCTTTCCGGACCAGGTTCTGGGCTGCACGCTTGGTAGATGCCATCTCTTTATCCCTACAAATAGACATTTTCTCCATGCTGACTCGTAGCATAGCAACCCCCGTGAGTTTCTAAGACTGTCACTGGTGACGAGAGAGAAAGCCAGTTTTCTCCCGAGAAGTTGCTGGGGGGTTTGAACTGCCGACCCTGCATACTGCAGCTCAACGGGTAACCACTCTACTACCAGGGCTCCCTACTTACAGGTGTGGAAACTGAGGCTCAGTTGTCGTGATTTGGTCAAGATGGTCGTTGTGAAACTAGCACTCTAATCCTGGATTGTGGAGTACAAAGAATTTAATCAAGCAGGGTAGGAAAGGGGAGTGGTTAAGAGCAGGGGATCTGGAATTGCAAGATCAGAGTAAGAAGTGCTTCCAGGGTTTGGGAATAAATGTTTGTCCTCCGGACTAGGTTGCATGGCAGACCTCCTTGCCCCCTGCTGGTCAAGTTCAGAACACAGCTCGGCCCAGAAGCCCATCTACTTCTGGGGGTCTCCCACACCTCCTACTGGTAAGACTTTTGAGTGCACACTCTTCGGAGCATAGGGCCCACTTGGAAGATCAGAGGTGCAGTTGTCTGCCGGTTTCTGGGGAAGCAGCTTCCTTCTGATTCTGCCAAGGCCCCAGCGTAGCCCAAGTCTCAGTGGGTAGGCTGAGCTGGGGCCCTGCCGCAGGCTGCTTTCTCTGGGCCTTGTATCCCCCGCTGGCCAAAGTGACTCTTGCTCAGACGAAGTTTGGAGAGGCGGCCACATGCTACTTTCTGGGGCCCGGCACCCCTCGAGGTTCCCCCCACCCCACTCACCATGCCTCATGTTGCCCTTCCACTCGCCCACGTAGCAGTCACCGTTGACAGCATACACCTGGTGTCGCAGCCCGTTCTTCTGGGCCTTCTGGTCCCACTCCTTCCACAGGGACTTCACCTTCTGCGGGCACTTGGTGATGGGCATGCTGGCTGCTTGGATGGGACCAGAGGTGCTGGCTGGTGGTTGGGGACATCAGGGACTCTGTGCACCCTGTCCAGGATCCCAGGACCATGGATCACGGGAATGTTCAGAGCCCCAGGGGCAGATGAGCAGCCCCCAGAGGAGAACCTTCTCGCTGGACTTGACCCCTCAGTGATCTCCTCCTGCCACTCCCCCGCCCCTAGAGGTCTGATGGCACAATCCTTTGGGAGCCCCCTGGAAGGCAGGGGGTTTGTGATGGCATTAAGGAAAATCTGCCCCAGGTGGGGGTGACTAGCACTTGGCTTGGGAACCACCATCACCCCCACCCCAGGAACCAGCACCACCACCACCACCCTCCCGAGGGCGAGGCCAGGCTGTGGGGAGTACTAGGATCCACTCAAGGCCTCCAGGTGATGCTGGGACACTAGGCAGCTGGCTCCTGACACAGCCCACAGGGACACTCCCAGCACCCAGCACTTTGCTCCTACACCAGCTGTTTGGTAGAAGGGATAGTGGTGGAGTCCAGGGGCCGATTTACAGAAGGTCATGACCCCAGACTTTCTGTGCTCAAATGGGGACAGTCTCAGGTCAGATAGCTGATCATCTTGGGCCTCTGCTCTCCTGGGACTACCCCATGGCCTGGCTAGATCTGCGTACTGTCCAGGCTGCCCCTCTCGCTTCCCCTGGTATAGGGCCTGTGCATGTCTTCACCATAGTCCTCCATGTATATCTATCTCCAGGGGGCTTGTGCAGGGTGATAGCCAGTCCTATCACCCAAAGACCCCTGCTTTCCCCCCAGTAAATCCCAGCTGGCCTCTTCCATGGGGACCAGGGGTGCCACACATCCCAAGGCCATCAGCAGCAGGGTCCAAAGTCAGACTATTTGTAACCGTCAGTGTGGACAGTACTGAACTCTCAGAACGACTTCTAAGTGAACAGGAGAGCCCTCATGTCCTGGGTACCAAAGTCCTTGGGACTATGGGGTCATTGCTGGGAAGTTCTTAAACTTCACCCTCCATCCCTGATGAACAAGGGACCTGGCATAGTCATTTTGCCCTGGGCTGTGCACCTTATATGGCTGCACCCTCCCTTTAGTTGGAGTGTGGGGAGGTCTAGGGTCCTCAAGGAGGGCTTGGGGCGGGCAGTGAAGACCCTGAGGATGGGGCTGTGGTGTGGAAGGACGTCAGCTCCGGCAGAACACCTATGTCGCTCATCTGCCTCTGCAGAAGCCCTCTATGCCCCTCCCCCAAAATACAGTCCAGATGCTATTGCGTCGAGGCATGTGTTTCAGACTAAAACTGTACTGCCGGGGCGGTGACCTTGCAGAAGGAGATCGCCAGGCCTATCTTCCCTGGCACCCTGGGTGAATCCCTGAGTGCCTCACCATGGGCATCACGCATGGACGCCTATCACCAAAAAAAGAGAAAAGAAACTGACTGCCACAGAGTCAATTCCATATCTCCTTTGGGAACGCCTGGGATTGGAACCCACCAGTCCCCTCTGCCTTTCACCCTCGATAGAAGCCACTCCTCTCTGTGGTCCTACCACACTCATGCCCGGCATGACTCTCCCCTCCACTCCCCCTCCCTTTGCCATTTTGCGATCCTCCCATGCCCATATGTTATCCTCCACCTGGGAAGGTCATTGAAATGTCCAAGAATCAGGAAGGAGTCAGAAAGGTGGGCGCTTGCCTGAGCTCCTAACTTTGATGATTGTGTCCCATTCCAAGGACTACCACGGCCGTCCAGTGGCTTCCCACTGCAGCCCCTAGCAACCCCGTAGCACAGAGTGGGAATGCCCACCCGGTTCCCTGCAGAGAAGCTGCCTGTCTCTCTCAGCTTTCTCCTTGGCTGGTGGGTTCCACCTGCCAAGCCTTGTAGTTGGCAGCCCGGCGCTTAACCCATGGCACTACAGGGCTCCTTATCCCCGAACTATTTTTAATCCGGCCATTTAAAGGCTCTGGCTCCAAAGGAGAAATAAAAAAATAAAATAAAAACAGCTCTATCAAAACAGGAGACTTTGCCAAGAGGAGACTTTGCCAAGAGCAGGTGTCCTCGGGGAAGGGAACAGTAAAAACTAGAAACTGTTTTTTAAACAGAGAAAAGGAGCCACACAACGTGTGAGGAAAGTCAGGAAATTGTATATGTCCCCAAAAATGTGGAAAGGGATTTTTTTTTTACCACAATCAAAGGAAAGAAACGAATGTGCTTAAGTCTTATCGCGACAGGTTTTTGTTGTTAGAGAGAGGGTAGCAAATATTGAGGGACTTCATGCCAGATGAGCCCCCAATAGGCGGCACTTTCACCCTGGCTGACTATGGAGCCTTGGTGGCTGGTTGGGTGGCTTACCAACCCCCAGGGGCAATTTTACTCTGTCCCAGGGGGTCCCCATGAGTTGCAAGTAACTTGATGACCGTGAGTTTGATTTTTACCCAGAATTGTAAGAGCACCCTGAAGCGGATAGCTCTCTCTCACACATAGGGTGTGACCGAATGACTGACTTGTGTGTGTGACAGAAACTCAACCCTTCTCCCACACTCTGGGGGACACACACACACGTTAAGCTACGGCGGAGGGTGAGGGCTTCCTACACAAGCTCTCGGTAGGGAGAGGAGACCTGGAGTCGCAGTTCTGAAGGCAGGCAGGCTTTGCAGGCTCATTTTGATGCTACTAACAATGACAACAGTGTGCTCACCTGTCTCAGACGGAACCTTGGACCCTGGGGTCCCAGGGGCCACAGTGACTCTGGGGTTCCAGGGCCCTCCTCCAACCGGCTGAGCGCTCGGAAGGCCCGGCTAGGGTCCCTATGGCAACGCGGAACCCAAGCTGAAGAACTCCGTGGTCCCCGCCCCTTCCTGCTGGGAGGCTGAGCGCCTTCAGGCGCACGTGCAGATCCTCCTGGCAGCGGGCAAGGACGCCTTCGGACTCTAGAGGTCAAGTGCTATATGCTCAAGGGCCTGGCGGCTGAAAGCTGGCGGCGAGCCCAGGACCCTCCCCACCACCCCCATTTCAGGCTCCCTGGGGCAAATGCAATGCGCGGAGCAGGGAGTACCCGGAGCTGGGATGTCCTGAGTCTGGACGCTAGGGTTAAGGTTCAAGGTCAGAGAGGAAAGGGGAGCCCAGGCAGGTCACGTGGGACCTCTGTAAGGGCTCCCTGACAAGAGATCCACAGCTGAAGGCTGTGAGCGGGGCCGACTCGAGGCTCCTTGCATCTAAGTAGGATGCCGGCATCTTCCTGGCGCCTCAGGGCGTTGCAAAGACCACTCAGCAGAAGCCTACTGTTAACTGAGTTCGTGGCCTCGTGGAGTTCTGGACTCCTCGGAAAATGAATGCATACTTAGGGCGGCTCATCCAGTGAATTCCAGCTTGCCTGTCGCCCCCTCCCTGACAGAGCAGAACTGCCTAGAACAGCTCCAACCCCCCTGACACCCCAGAGCATTCCCTCGAAGGCCACATTTCCAAAACGGGGCACCTGGAAACTCCTTTCCTGAGTTAAAACTGTAGGTATACTATAAATAGATATTCTAAAGCTTATTAGAAAGCTTTGGAAGCATCATAAATTGTCCTTATACGTTTTGTTCTCAAGAGGGTTCCCTCCCTAGAGAAGTACATCATCCTTGGTCAAGGAGAGGGTCAGGGAAACTTAGACTCACAGAGACAGATTGACTATAGACAGCGCCCTGGGCCGAAGGATTGTGCAGACTGAGCTGTGTTTCAGTCTGTGGTACATGGGGCCGTGAAGAATCAGAACTAACTTGGCTCCTGAACACAATACCATCTACATTTTAGTGCCAATCAACTCGTGTGGACTTCACAGCCTCCTGTGTGTTTTATGTTCTCTTGAGCCGGCTAGTTGGTTCTGTGTCATAAAGTAAACTCACTGCCTTGGGGTCCATTCTGGCTCACAGTGAGTCAGCCCCCTGGCGCTTTCTGAAACTGTGACTCCTCACGGGAGCAGATCAGCTTCATCTTTCTCCCATCCACCCACTGGTGGTTTCGAACTGTCACTCTTGCAGTTACCAGTCCCATGCTCAGCCACATAGCAACCCGGTAAAACATAATAGAACAGTTTAGTATTTCTGTGGATGTAAATCTTCCTGGGAGCAGCTAGCCTCACCTTTCTTCCTCAGAGGAGTTAGTTGGTGGATTGGAACTGCTGTCCTTGTGAGTAGCATTCCAACCAGTAATCCACTACCCCCTCTGGGGCTCCTCCTGAGTATGAAACACACCCGCCCATGCACACACACACACACACACACACACCCTTGTTTCTTATCTTCCTCTATGGAGTGAAAGCAAGGGCTCTTTTGATTCCTTCCAACTTTTAATTATGAAGAATTTCAAACACACAGTCAAGTTTAAATAAGGGTAAAATAAAACACCTATTACCACCTCTGCCTGTAGACAACAATTCTGGCATTTTGCCATCTTGAAAAATGCCCGTTTTTATGCCTTCAGGAGTTTATGTGCCTTTTCACTGCTGTCTCCCGAGGAGCCGGAAGAGTGGTTCCTCACTGTATGAGTAAACCACTGCTTCCTGGACCTCACCCCTCCAGGAGTCCGGGCCCTGGAGGTTAAGATCTCCTAGCGACAGCCCTGATGAATCACATTCTCCAGGTGGAAGCCTCCCCCTGTTCCCCTCCCCAGGCCAGAAACGATCAGATCTTGCCCCAAATTGTGTCCTCTTTGTGGCATTCCGGGCTGCACCCTGCACCCGCAACACCGAGCACAGTCCTGCCCTTAGCATGCACTTAGTGTTTGTTGAATGGACCAACATTCATTGACCTCTTGGTTCTCAGCTCAACTCATCCCTTCTGCTCTGTGCCCTTTTGCGGGGCTGCTTCTGGAGCCACCCAGGCAGTTGACTTCTGGTCTCTTGTTCAGTCGCCTTCAGCGGCTTAGAGATGAGCCAGGAGACTGTGTGTAGAGGTGTCACTAGGGGTTGCTATAGCCCAATGTAGTGACTCCTGCTGTCTTCATTCCCCATGGACCACAGAAACGCCAATAGTGTAGCACACCCAACTCCAAATCCACTGCCATCGAGCTGATTTCCACTCAGAGTGACCCTAGAGAGCATACTAGAACTGCCAATAGGGTTTACAAGGCTGTACATTTTTATGGAACCCGACTGCCACACCTGTGTCCAGATGAATGAATGGCGGATGGGTTGGAACAGGTGACCTTTCGGCTATCAGCTGAGCATCAAATCTCGGAACCACTGAAGCTTCTTAGTGGAACAGGGTGTGTACGATAGAGATTGTTTAACTTTTTATTGAAGTACAGAAAAATGGAGATGGCATCAACATATGGCTTGATAAACTGATGAGTACAACAGCTTCTGGGAGGGAATCCTTCTTAGAAACAATGACCAAAGTCTAATTTTGAGTCCCTGGTGTTAAAAAGGATTAACCGCTCAGCCACTGACTGAAAAAGGTGGCAGTTCGAACCCACCTAGTGGCTCCAAGAGAAAAGGCCCTGACAGTCTGTTTCTGTAAAGATCGCATCCCAGAAAGCCCTGTGGGGTAGCTCCACTCGGTCACATGGGGTTGCTAGGATCAGAATGGATTTGACAGTACCGTATAACGTGAGGCCACTTCCAAGTGATTCCGTAGGCTTCCTCTTTTGTTCTCCTTGCTCTCCTTTCTTCCCAAGTCCCTAAAGTTGTGCTGGAAAATCAGGTAATTACCTACATTTAAATTTAAATGAAATAAAATATAAGCTTAGCTCCTCATCCACAGTGGCCCCGTTTTTGAGGGTTTCGTAGCCACATGTTGTCAATGGCCACTATATTGGACAGTGAAGACTCAGCGTTCCCATCCCCGCAGAAAGTGCTACTGTACAGTGTTGCTTGAGTGGATGAGCTCTGACCTGTGGCCTCCTCCTGTTTCTTGAAACATTTCCCTTACTACTCATTTACTTCCCAACATTTTATATATATATTGCTAATTGGTCAGCAAGATACCCTGTGAAAGCCAAACTGTCATATTTGCAGGGACATGCCAGTAGAAATTATAGTTGTTAAGGAAAGAAATACAGCTCATAAACCATCTCGAGGGAAAATGCACAGCTTCACTTGCAATTAAAGAAATGAAAGTGAAAATAACCCTGTTGTACCATTACATACTGTCTAGACTAGGAAATGTGTAAAAAACGATGGACTGTGATTTTGGCAGCACTGTGGAGAACAAGACGGAAGGTGTAGTTGGGCTGTTAATGGAAGGCCAGAGGTTCAAACCCAGCAGTCTCTCTAAGGGAGAAGGGTGAAAATATCTGCCCCAGTAAAGATTTACAGACTCAAAAACCCTAAATAGGGTACCTGTGCATCCGGATTGACTCAGTGGCAGTGGGATTGGTTTTTGGTGGAGAATGATGCACCTGCACACATGGTTAGCCAAGAGGCCAATGAGGTAAATCATCCTGAAGAACCATTTAGAACTATAAAACTACTCAGACTGGACCTGTCCACTTCATGACTACTATTTATTCAATATATAGTGTGTATGACATTTTACATTCAGAAAGATTGACCCCTGTTGGGTAAACTCTGTGGACTGTTAAAACCTACCAGTCCCTTCTCAAAAGATAGATGAGGCTACCTGCTCTTGCAAAGATTTACAGCCTCAGAAACCCTCCGTAGAGTCACTATGAGTCAGAATTGACTTGATGGCAGAGGGTTTTTGGCTTATTTCTTGGCATAAGGTAAATAAGTTTACTCCATTTTAAAAGCCATTAAACTGTAAAATGATTTCAGCCAGTGTGAAAATTGTTTGGAGGTTTCCCAAGAAGTGGAATATAGAATCGCCATGTGGTTGTTGTTGTTAAGTGCTGCCCAGTGGGTTCAGGCCCATAACCACCCTCCACACAACAGAATGAAATGCTGCACAGTCCTGCGGCATCCTCACAATAGGTCCTATATTTGAGCCCATTGTTGCAGCCAAGTGTCAATCCACCATGTGCCCAGCAATCCCATTACCCATTACATTAAAAACAGTGACTCAGAAAGATACACCCCAATGTTACTTGCAATATTATTCACAACACCAAAATGTGACAACAACTCCAATGTCCACCCCCTGATCAATGGAGAAACAAAATATGGACCATACACTGGAGTATTCTTAAGCCACAAAAAGGAATGAAGTTCTCATACATGGTACAAAGTGGATAAACCTCCAAAACCTTTTGCTAAGTGTAATAAGCCAGTTACAAAAGGACACATATTGTATGAGTCCACTTAGATATCTAGAATAGGCTAATTTATGAGGCAGATTAAAGATTACTACTGGGTGGAAGAGGAATTATTATTGAATGGTACAGAGTTTTTATTTTGGGTGTGTGACAGTTACATAATCTACTGTCAACCTGAGCGAAAGGGTAGAGTCTAGCCTGTCAATCAGGTCATAGCCAATGAGCCCTCCGTGAGGGCATGGCCTTCTCCTGAGGATTCTGGGAACTCCGGTCTTCCTCCCTGGAGGCAGGACACACACTCTCCCTATGAGACATTCCTGTTGATAAGCCACATGGAGACACACTGATGGAACCAGAGCCCTGGAGCTGGAGGAGCCACGTGGAGACCCACGCCAGCAATGAGATCCTTCCGCTTCTACTGCCACTGGATCTATAAGACTTTCCCACCCACTGGCCTGTGATCTTCCTGCGTTCAGCATCATTGTGTGGCTTCGAGAGTCTAAAAAGGAATTTATGGACTAGCATCGGACATATGGACGAATATCGGACTTATGAACTTGATCT